TACGTGACATTAACGATGCTAGAGCTTATAATAAGTCATCCTACTATTTGACTTGGTTAAAAATTAATTCTGCATATTCCACAGAAATCATTCATTTACATCAGCACAATCTTTTGGTGGCTCACTTCAACTACGTCCATTTTGATTTGAAAACTAGCGACAACTTTAACATTGGGATGAAATGTCTAGTTGTATCAATAGTCAAAGATACTTCTTTTAACTTTGAGTGTTCAATAAAACCTTGATTTATAAGAATTTGATTTTTTTGTGTTCAAAAGCCTAGGAAAGTTTGAAATTAATGGTTAAATCAACAAATAATTCATGGTGATTAAAGTATCTTGCTGCTTCACATAGAAGTAAGGTACAGAGGAAACATTCAATGGTACATTTAAGTGGTGTCTAGCACTAGTGCTGGTGTGTAGGGTAAATTCCAACACCGTCCCTCTTCCCTAATGTACTGGAATGCTATCGGTGAAGGAAGACAATGTGCAATAGGAATTTCCGCTCAGGCTCTTCCATCCTACTGTCGGGGAAAAAAGTTTAGACACTCGAGTTTGGAGCTCTACAGAAAAGTAACCTACTAACTTAGAAAAACACGTAGTATATATAAATTTTCGTTGTTTAATTCTACGTATTCCTGTGAAAACAAAAAATTTTTAGCTCGTTTAGGAAATTTTTTATGACAGTCGGAAGGCAAAAACTCCCTGTTTTTAGAGTAACAAAAACGATCTTATGACTTTGAAAATTCGCACAATGTAAACTAAAAGTCAGAACTTTATCAAACTTTAATACAAGTACCTGGGGACCGAGCTTTGCTCGGGGAAAATCATTAGTTCACTCTGAAAGCACCTTAGTATTGGAGATGCATAAATCCATTCCCAAACTCCACACGGCTCGCCTTCACCACCATTTCCTACGTCATGGACCTGTTTCCCTCCATTCCCATTGCATTTAAAGATTGCAAATACCTTAATCTAATCGTCATAAACAGTTCCCACACTCCGGACTACTCGCCTTGACTACTTCCTTCACCACTTCCTACGTCGCGGACCTGTTTCCCTCCCTTTCCATAGCATTTTAGGATTGCAAATACTTTAATCTAATCATCATAAACAATTCCCACACTCCGGACTACTCGCCTTGACTACTTCCTTCACCACTTCCTACGTCGCGGACCTGTTTCCCTCCCTTCCCATTGCATTTTAGGATTGCAAATACCTTAATCTAATCGCCATAAACAGTTCTCACACTCCGGACAGCTCGCCTTGACTACTTCCTTCACCACTTCCTACGTCACGGACCTGTTTCCCTCCCTTCCCATAACATTTTAGGATTGCCCATACCCTTATCTAATCGTCATAAACAGTTCCCACACCCAGGACAGCTCGCCTTGACTACTTCCTTCACCACTTCCTACGTCGCGGACCTGTTTCCCTCCCTTCCCATAACATTTTAGGATTGCCCATACCCTTATCTAATCGTCATAAACAGTTCCCACACCCAGGACAGCTCGCCTTGACTACTTCCTTCACCACTTCCTACGTCGCGGACCTGTTTCCCTCCCTTCCCATAACATTTTAGGATTGCCCATACCCTTATCTAATCGTCATAAACAGTTTCCACACCCAGGACAGCTCGCCTTGACTACTTCCTTCACCACTTCCTACGTCGCGGACCTGTTTCCCTCCCTTCCCATAACATTTTAGGATTGCCCATACCCTTATCTAATCGTCATAAACAGTTCCCACACCCAGGACAGCTCGCCTTGACTACTTCCTTCACCACTTCCTACGTCGCGGACCTGTTTCCCTCCCTTCCCATAACATTTTAGGATTGCCCATACCCATATCTAATCGTCATAAACAGTTCCCACACCCAGGACAGCTCGCCTTGACTACTGCCTTCACCACTTCCTATGTCGCGGACCTGTTTTCCTTCCTTTCCATAGCATTTTAAGATTGCGGACACCTTAATCTAATCGTCATAAAAAGTTCCCACACTACGGACTACTCGCCTTGACTACTTCCTTCACCACTTCCTACGTCGCGGACCTGTTTTCCTTCCTTCCCATAGCATTTTAGGATTGCAGACACCCTAATCTTATCGTCATAAACATTCCCCACACTCCGGACTGATCGCCTTCACTACTTCCTTCATCACTCCCTACGTCACGGACCTGTTTCCCTCTATTCCCATAGCATTTTATGATTGCCTTTGTTACTTCCTTCACCACTTCCTACGTCGCGGATCTGTTTCCCTCCCTTCCCATAGCATTTTAGGATTGCCCATACCCTTATCTATTCGTCATAAACAGTTCCCACACTCCGGACAGCTCGCCTTGACTACTTCCTTCACCACTTCCTACGTCGCGGACCTGTTTCCCTCCCTTCCCATAGCATTTTAGGATTGCCCATATCCTTATTTAATCGTCATAAACAGTTCCCACATTCCGGACAGCTCGCCTTGACTACTTCCTTCACCACTTCCTACGTCGCGGACCTGTTTCCCTCCCTTCCCGTAGCATTTTAGGATTGCCCATACCCTTATCTAATCGTCATAAACAGTTCCCACACTCCGGACAGCTCGCCTTGACTACTTCCTTCACCACTTCCTATGTCGCGGACCTGTTTTCCTTCCTTTCCATAGCATTTTAAGATTGCGGACACCTTAATCTAATCGTCATAAACAGTTCCCACAATCCGGACTACTCGCCTTGACTACTTCCTTCACCACTTCCTACGTCGCGGACCTGTTTTCCTTCCTTCCCATAGCATTTTAGGATTGCAGATACCCTAAATCTTATCGTCATAAACATTCCCCACACTCCGGACTGCTCGCCTTCACTACTTCCTTCATCACTCCCTACGTCACGGACCTGTTTCCCTCTATTCCCATAGCATTTTATGATTGCCTTTATTACTTCCTTCACCACTTCCTATGTCGCGGACCTGTTTCCTTCCCTTCCCATAGCATTTTAGGATTGCAGATACCTTAATCTAATCTAATCGTCATAAACAGATCCCAGACTTCGCACTGCTGCCCTTGACTACAATCATAGATAAAACCATATACTATAAAACATACTCCCTACAATGTATCGAGTAATCTTCAGTATAATCTTTGCTAAATATTATGCTAATTATTAAGTGATGTTTTCCTTTTGTACTGTATTTGTAATTTGCTAGTATACTGTGGGTAGTTGGCTTACTATGAACACATGCTACAACTTCAAGTCTTTTGTTTACTTTATCCTTGTTATTTAATTCATCCAACATGGTTACCTAGCAACCCATAAGACTAATGTTAAAAAAATGTGATTTTCAGTTTCATTTTTCTACGTAATTAGATTTTTGTTGGCAGTTCTAACTGCATGAAACTCGTTTTTAGGCCAAAAATAAACTATTTACAAGATTTGAAGAAAATCGTCGGAGCTGTTTTCGAGATCTTTCTGCAAGCAAGCAAGCAAGCAAGCAAGCATACAAGCAAACATTGCTCGTATTAGAGTATAGGATATAGACACATATATAATGAATTAATTTGTGAAGTTTCAGAATTTTTACTTTACCCAAAAAGTTTTTGTTGTAACTTTTGTAAATTAACTTTTTCTCAGAAACGGTAAACGCTAGAAAAAAAATGAAAAGCTTGTTTTGAAGGTGGTTGGTTTTGTATTTGAAATATTAATACTGTTCAACCAAATTGTTACACATGTTATTAATATAAATTAACAAAAAACTGGATGATCTCGCGCCTGCAAGGAGTGCAGACGCCATCGCCCGCGCAGGAATCCAGTGCAGTGTTGCCACGATGGACCTTGACCGAGCGTAAGGTGATTCACGCAGTGTGTCACCGAGTGATGACTGACTCACAGGAAATATCGTGTTTTGCATTCTTCCAAAGGGTCCAAAGTCCAAATATGTCATCAGTAATCCACCTCAGGCTGTCCTCAATTTTAGATATTGTCACATCGCTAAAAATGGGTGCTACATCTAAATTGTCGGATTCTGAATATGCAATGATTGTCAGTGCGATATGTTTTTTTAGAAGTGAGGGAGAAATGTTAGGGGATAAGCGATATCCAGCATATCAAAATCAGATCCAAAGCCCTCATTAGAAAAGGTGATGGGAAATGGTTAATAATATATTCTGTTCAGTTTTGACTCAACAGTTCGCAGCCCATCGCTGCTCAGTGTCCTGGTGTTCAATTTGGCAACACTGTACAGGGTATGCGCCCAGCCAGAGCCGGCGGCGGTCTGGAAGTGCCGTATTCGGCCGCTGCATTATCCAAATTAAATGTTAACTTATATAAATAATATGCGTAACAATGTGGTTGAGCAGTATCAATATTTCAAATACAAAACCAATGACCATCATAACAAGCTTTTCATTTTTTTTCTAGCGTTTGCCGTTTTTGAGAAAAAGTTAATTTACAAAAGTTACAACAAAAACTTTTTGGGTAAAGTAAAAATTCTGAAACTTCACAAATTAATTCATTATATATGTGTCTATATTGTATTAAAGTTTGATAAAGTTCTGACTTTTAGTTCACATTGTGCGAATTTTCAAAGTCATAAGATCGTTTTTGTTACTCTAAAAACAGGGAGTTTTTGCCTTCCGACTGTCATAAAAAATTTCCTAAACGAGCTAAAAAATTTTTGTTTTCACAGGAATACGTAGAATTAAACAACGAAAATTTATATATACTACGTGTTTTTCTAAGTTAGTAGGTTACTTTTCTGTAGAGTTCCAAACTCGAGTGTCTAAACTTTTTTCCCCGACGGTAGTCACAAGTACGGGTATATTTCCCACACAACTTACTAGAGCTGAAAGCGCACGGTCGTCCCATAAATTTCCGCTGTACCTTACTTCCCTGTGGCCGATCTAAGAGATTAATACTAAATTTATAATTTAACTGACCAATTACAATTATTTTGATGGACTGGTAAAAGCCTACTGTGACAGAGATTTCTACAAAAAAAGCTCAAACCATATATTATCAACACTTTTATTATAAAATTGTATGTAAAATTGTTTTTAAGCGTACAAATTAAGTAACAACTAGTCACACAAATCGAACTAAAATTATACCTAAAATTATATAATAGGAACACTTAATGTAAAACTGAGAGTTAAAAGAACTAACAATAAAATCACAAATTGTTCAAGATTTATTAGTAATCAAAAATAATTTGTCTTCTTAACCCTAATGTAAATAAATATTTCTAGTAAATATGTATATTGCTAATTCCTTTTATGATGCTTTCAGTCAACCACTTCTCCATGTAGTTTTTATATTCAATTAAATGCAAGTTAAATTATATTATTTTTTATTGTTGGTATTTAGTATTTACAAACAATATTTTAGAGATTAAACCCTACTTTTTGATAAAGCAAATACAGTATACAAATTAATCAATAACTAAGATATGTAAGTTATTTGTACTAGAAACATAATTATTGCAGTTTTGTTTTCTTAAATGCAGAATATTACTTTCTTTTAAAGATTTTTAAACTTTCTATAGCTTCAATAACATGAAACATACATTTTCTGGTAGTCTTTAACTCTTAACCGAAACATCATTGTTATATTTTGTGTTTCCTCTTCAAAATATTCCTTAGCCAATTGGCTTTTTCTTAAAATACTATTTATTTAAGTGTTGTAAGGAAAAAACTCCAAGAGAAATTAACATACGCAAATAAAATATTTCTTTGAAACATATTTTACAATTAATTACAGATAAAATCTATTACTTATCCTAAAATAAACTATCAGCTAAAACTACAAAGCAAAATAACTTAAAGCTGCAAGTATTTGTCATATTTCTTAGGTACTTAGTTACCTAAGTTAGTCAATAAGTCCTTTGGTAGCTTTGCCTTTTTGGTAAAGTTAAGTAAACACTTAAGAGATTTTAAGAGATTTAAAAAACTGGATAACTTCCTTGGAATTGCATTAAGCAGTTAAACAGGTGACTTTAACATTGTAATTTTTAAGGGAAAATTCTTTTTGTATCTTTTAAAGCCGTTGGCCTTTTTTAAGTGTTTTTACCAGTTCCAATACTGATCTTGTTGGTTATTACCATCTAGACCATTCGTTATGTAGCATCATTATTTAATAGCCCAATGATCAGTAAACAGAATTGACCCACATCGAACCGAAAATCCTCAGATTTTAAGCCGACTGATTTTGCAGTACAGCAACAATTAAATTTTATTTCTTCAAATTTTAGTTAGGATAAATATTTGAGCCATTAGGAGACCGATTATCCTAAAAGAAAATTTATCTTTGAAGTTTTGCTTCTCTGACCAATTTGATAGTACTGCTACCTGGTTGGGCCCAGTTATCAACACCAGTTTCAACTATGGATGCTGTTATTTATAACAGGTAGTGTAGATTGCGTCAATCAGAATGGCGATTAGGATGTGCATATACACGAGAGCCCTTCCCTTGTTTACTTTTGTAGTTTTGTAAAGCAACCTTAACGATTAATTGCCGTTGTATTAATTTAATACCAGAGTAGTGACTCGCGTTTTTCACAACCTTCCCTCATCCCTGTCTACACGACATTCTCATTGACGCTATCATCAAAATACACTTCATATTCAATATGGCAGCAATGCTTGCGAGTCATCGTGTTGGTAGCACTGTTCTAATTAGTGCCCACTGAGGTACCTAGCGATTGCATCAGTTGGTAACACTGCTGTAGTCTCTTCTTGTCTCCGATCTTCTCCAGTGTTTTAGCAGCGTCCAGTAACATTCCGGCTCGTTCGCCCGGAGACGCAAGCAGCGGTGTAGGAAGATGTCTACAAGCCAGGTACAGCGCAGCTGCATGTTCTCGCTCTCCGCCTGTCTCTGCTGGTGACTTTTCTGGGAAAGATTATTATTTGAAGGAAAACGCATTGTTTATAGAACAGAAAATTCTGGTCAACTACACTGATAATGTACTGCCTTTTTTAACCTAGCTTAACTAGAAATATGAGCAATAATCAAAAAGTCTTTAGTCTACAGTTTCAAATTTCTTTAGTCTAAAAAGTGGCATTTTGTTCACGTGAATTTGTTAGCAAAACAGCCAATTTAAGCCAAACAGCCATTGAACCCATTCTAAGGAAGAAGAACCTCCTTCCAAAAGGAGATATTTTCCAGGCCTTTAAAGCTTCCTCCAAATGAGTACAACATTTTTATTTTATTACAATTTTTTTTACTTAAGGGATCTAAGGAAAGGATCTAAATGAATTTAAGGGATCTCAATTTGAAAGAAATTTAGAAGAAAACTCAATGCATTTTTGTTATTTTTGATAACTTACCTTTGCCGCAGATTATGTTGGTCCGAGTAGACCGATGTCTAAGACTACGGTCTAACAGCTGTTGTGTTCGACCCGGCGCAGCGCCAGCCATCAACCTTACTGTTGCTTCATATAGGAACACTCTTGCCAACCCGATCTGTCAAAAATGTGTTTGTTGAGATACAAATAGACATTCTATTCCCATGTTAAAGTCATTGGCAGTTTAAAAATCAAAATGTATTTAGATAAATTAAGCCACTGACAGTGTGTTGATATAAATTACTGATTTCTACCGAATACGCCGACTTATTAACCAAGTCAAACTGATTCAACGATTTAATGTAAGCTATATCAATGTTCATCAACCTAATCTAGTTTTTTTTTTTACCAAACCTGACCTATTTTTAGAGTATAATAGTTTTGACAAAATCAATTACACAGTAATGAATTGAGGTTAAGGGTGTAGCATAGAGCACAAGGGCCTAGATTTTTTAGGATTTCTTGAGAGGATAGCAGGCTTACCTGAATGGGAAAGAGTCCAAACTGGCACAGGAAACACAAAACAAAACTTTACACTATATACACAAAACATTATAATATTTCACTGTCACTGACAGCATTTTCAACGGACGCGTTGCAGAAAGTCAACAGTCCCGGAAGGTCAAATAATTTATACCTGTGCCGCTAGGTCAAAAACTACAATGTTTGCAGTGTCTGTAGATCAAAAATCCCAGTAAGTCAAATAGTACAGTCCGGGCTAAAAACGTGGTCTATGTTAAAGCAATTGACTTATTGGGAATTTGACCTAATGCAACAGCAGTTTTAATATAACGAAATAAGATAAAATATAAGTTCAGTTTCGCTGAGTCAACAGTGCCGGAAGGTCAAAAGTATAATCTGTTAAAAACAACGATAGTCCTCTCGACGCATGACTTCAATAATTTCGCGTTTTGGTGTACTTAAAGTTGTGCTAAAATTTTGCAAATTGGCACAGAGCTTCTTGGTTAGTCCTACTCGATGACTATTTTGTTGGAACTTTAAACTATTTACCGATCTAATTAATAAAAATTAATATGTATGGTGAAATAGTTTTAAATCGTGATTTCTAACATGAAAAAGTTAGCATGCGAGAATTTTTTTTGTTTTTGGGTTAGAGAGGATTTGTCTGTGGCAAAGTTGTAGCCAAAAGTGTGATGCGTAAAATATATTTTTTTGAATTTTTTACAATCAGTGGTTCAATAAATAACTTGGGTTGAAGAGGACGGCAAATTTAGCATTTCGCAACGCATGGAAAGAACTACATCGTACGATGCGACTGCTAAGTGGACTTTTAATTTACAGTTCTAAGAACAAGAAAAAGATGAATATACAGATCACCAGTACATTCATATTATTTATAAAACATCTTTCTGTATTACCAGCTTACATTTTTCACTTATAAGAATAGACTACATCATAAACAGGGTGTTAAAAATAAGCGGGGAGATACTTTACCTAGTAATTCCTTGGGTCAAAATAAACAGAAAATCAAGGATAACATTTTTTCCGAAATCGTTTCGTTAACCAGATATCCACCATTTTGTATTTTTTACATACAAATATTTATCTTTGCACTTTTCCAACCGATGTTAATGAAACTTGGTATGTATGTTAAGGTAGGAGAGACCCATGTTATAAAAAAAGATTCATCTCGATTCACCCTAAAATTTCAAAATTTAACACTTAACTACAATATAATATACTTTACTACACCACAATATTTACGTATCACCATAAATCTTTAATAAAATAAAACGTTCAAATTTTTAAAATCCACAGTAAATCAATATAATCTTTCTTTTTTGAAAAATATAGTAAAAAAATAAGGCGATGTTAAAATAACGACAGGCGAGTTTCGATCTGGGTGTTTCAAGTTTGAACCTAGGAGGATTTAACATTAATGTTTAATCCTCCTAGGTTTGAACTGATTGAGAGGAATACATGAAATCGAAGGGGGGAGGTAGCAGCAAGTGCACTAGTACTTACTAGTGTCCAATTACAATTTTATGGATTTAACCAAAACCTTTTCTATTTCACTTATTTTCAGCTGTTAAATTTCAAACGATACGTTTTAGCTACATCATTTACATTATTATCATCATCATCGTTTGAGTTTGGGTTTGCGGCAATGTATTTTTATAAATAAAACCTTTAATTTGATACTAAACTTGACCTCTGCTAATATTAATTGACTGTATGGACTATTAATTAACAGCTGTGTCTAAGGATTATGTCGGCCTTCGTCACTAACAGGACAACAAGATCGCTCCACTCATCACACACTCATCTCCATTCATACTTGGCTTAAAATGCATACATTTTTATGGTCGGCATTTCAAAAACAGGTAAAATAGTATTAAAATTATATAAGAATTTTCTCTTAGTCTTTGTGGTCCATCCCCCTTAAGGGATAAAAAAGTGATAATAGCTTAAGACAATAGATATTTATGGCTATTATTGATATACCAAGTCTCACTACTTTATCTATATTGTTAAAAAAATATAGCCAATCCATGACTTTTCAACCATACTGTATAACGCCAACACGAAATGTTTCCGTTGAATTCCTCCGAATTTCTTAGGCGATTTTGACCAATCATGTCTCATTAGAAAGAGCGTGTCACGTACATTTGCAAACCAACCTTACATTTTTTAAATCCCTTGGGCTCAGCCCCAGTGGCTCTTAAAGAACCGATGTTATGCCTATGAAGAACATATTGATTTATTTATATTAGGATCAGCTCAATTAGTTGCTGTTATGCAATTCAAGGATATAATGTTGGCTACATTATTAACATGTTACTGATTTGTTTGAAATACTATATTTACTATTTCAATTTGGGTTTGCTGGATAATTTAATCCATTACAAAACATTACAAACATATAACAACATATAACATTACAAACAATAAAAATTAATGGACAAAGTACTGTATTTCATGAGCAATCATTGAAAGGGCCGATTGAAGTCCTCATCAACCAAAAGAATGCCTACTAAAGCAAATAAAATTGAGACGAACATGTAATGCACGAAATCAGGTGGTTCTTAAGTATGTGAAAAAGTGTATCGCTATTCAAAAACAGACGGAAAACTTTTAAACATATTCGTGATAATGGGTGTAACATGGCTACATCATCAATGACAAACGTGGACAACCTTAATACGAGTGTGAGTAAGTCCGAAAACAACTCTAAAAAACAATAAGCAATAAATTGCAAGAACCGCTGCTTATATCATTGGGTATACACTATCTACTGACGTGTATACTCAATGCTTATATGTATCGAACTGTTATATGTACACCGTGAGTATTTTTAGTTGTTCCATTTAGTTGTGTGTCCATTAGTATAATATTTAAGTTGACTCTTTTAAGTCAGCGGAAATTGTAACTGTTATTACCCTTGAAATAATGTTTGTGTAGTACTTTGCAATCCTACCAATGCTTATAGAATCATATGATTACAATTTTCTGGTTAGAATATGTCGCATAGAGTGGTGACTACTGTATCTAGTTTTCTGAAATTCAGCCGCCATTTTCCAAAATGGCGGCCAAATTTGAAATTTCTTATGGAACACCCTATATTTTATCATGTTTTTGGATAGAATAGGCAATTTAAAAACTTTTTACCCTTGACATTTTTTCGATAAACCCACTTGTTTAGGAGTTACAGCCTATGGAAAAATGACTTCCGGTATACATTACATCATGTAGCTCATAAACAAGTAAGTTTATAGCAAAAATGTGAAGAGTAAAAAAGTCTAACAATTGCATCCACATTCCAAAAAGACCATAAAACTCATTAAAAATATGAATTATATTATTTAAAAAATGGTGGCAAACTTGAAAAGTGGAAAACGTTTTATTTTATAGTCTTTAAGGAATGTAGATGCAATTCTAAGACTAATTTACTTTTTGCAATTTTGCTCTAAACTTACTCGTTTAGGAGCTACATGATGTAAAATGTACACCGCAAGTCATTTTTCCATTGGCTGTACTCCTAAACGAGTGGGTTTATCGAAAAAATGTCAAGGCTAAAAAAGTTTTTAAACTGCATATTCTATCCGAAAACATGATAAAAAAACTAAAATCATATTTTTAACTGCCACAAAAAATAAAGGAATGTCCCCCATTTAAAGTTTTCTCTAATTCTTACCGTTTCCGATTTCCCAATGGTGGCCTCCTTGAGTTGATCACCCTGTATATATGAATTTGAACGGATGTTGTTTTTGGCCTCTAGGGACTCAAAACGAAAAATTACATCGGTCCCGGGTCCAGGTGTTGCCATGAGTACTACGGTAATAGCTTATTCCCTATATGCGAAATTCGCTAAAAACCTAATAATTCTATAGAATAACTAACTGTACCCACTGGCTTTGCCCCGTTTAACTAATTCATTTTTAAGATGAGCTCGTTCGCATGGCTCAATCACGTCCTGGTTGAAGTTCGTTCGCTACGCTCACTCACCTTTAGGTTGAAGTTCGTTCGAAACGCTCACTCAGCTTTTGGTTGCAAATTAGCTGTTGTCATAAATTGTTTAATTGACACAGCTGTTAAGATTCATTAATTCCTTTTAAATATGAAAAATCATAAGGTTAACATGGGAAACTCCAGAGCCACTGGGGCGAAGCTCGAATGCCTTATCATAATAAAAATTACTTAGTTTTCCTATTTAATGCCCAAAGAATCGGTGTATCGAATTTCAGCCTCCTAGGTAAATGGGAAGTGGGAGAATTAGTGATGATGAGTGAGTGAGAGTGAGTGTGTCAGTGAGGGCTTTGCTTTTTATAAGTATACATAGCACATTCAACCAGCTGTTAGTTAAAACAAATTATATTGGACTAAAACAAATTGATGATTACAAAGAATACTTTAAAAAATAATTTGAACATCCTACTACTGTATTTTACTATGCATATTTAATTAATCTGCCATCCTCGTACCGAAGAATTAAATGTATCAATGTTCAGCATTACACATAGTATAAATTGGCCAACCATAAGTATGTACTGTATTTGAATTTTCTTCCAAATGCTGAATTTGTGTCACAAATGCTGAATGTTACAGCTGTTATGTTAAGCAAATTATATTGTACTAAAAGCTAGCTAGAAGCATTGACTTATTGGAGAAGGTTAGCATCGGCTGCTAGACGTTTTAAAAACTAAAACTTAATTTATAAAAAACTGGGACACTAATTTTAAATTATGGCTTTGAAATTCCCTAGTTCTCAAAATTGTCTTTCTTTCAACACAAAACTAATGAAAATCCATCGTCTGGTTGATTCAGAATCGTGAAAAAATCCCATTTACGTTTTAATAGTATATATGATAGTTTGGACAGGTTTCAACCCTTCCGAGGCATAATACATTTACACAGTTTATATGTAGACTACATTATAACTCATAAAATATTTCTACAATTCAATGGATCTCCTTTTACAAACGTATATAATAACCAGAAATTTTCAGATCGTCCTTGCGGGTATTTTATGCCACAAATTTTGACGAAAGGCTATACCTATTTACAGTGTTGACCAAACAGTTGGCAAGAAGCATTAATAGATAAGCTATGCTATGTACCAAATATGATAATTTTAGCTCTATTCTAATTATGACAAAACACGAAGTAACTAAAAGCGAGTTTTGTTGGTGTAGTAAGCGTTGCAGGAGGTCTACTTTACACTGAATCGACGTTCACTTTTATTGCTTTTGATCTTCCGGCACTGTTGACTCAGCGAAACTGAACTTGTATTTTACCATATTTCGTTATATTAAAACTGCTGTTGCATTAGGTCAAATTCCCAATAAGTCAATTGCTTTAACATAGACCACGTTTTTAGCTCGGACTGTATTATTTGACTTACTGGGACTTTTGATCTACAGACACTGCAAACATTGTAGTTTTTGACCTAGCGGCACAGGTATAAATTATTTGATCTTCCGGGACTGTTGATTTCCAGCAACATTCCCTTTTCAACTAAGGAAGAGAGTTGAAAATGCTGTCAGTGACAGTGAAATATTCTAATGTTTTGTGTATATAGTGTAAAGTTTTGTTTTGTGTTTCCTGTGCCAGTTTGGACTCTTTCCCATTCAGGTAAGCCTGCTATCCTCTCAAAAAACAATAATGAATTGTTTAAAGATGGAAAGAAATACTATTCATATTATTGAGTATGTATGTAAATTTATCAGGTAAGCAAGTTGAATCCCTTTAAAAACCTTAAAGTATGAACAACAACAAATCCCTCTACCATAGACACCATTAGACACTTACCGACAATTCTTGTGGCAATTCCTGAGTAATTCTACACAGAGAAGACAGATCTGCTTGGAAGCCTGACAGCTGATCAGCTGATACAGGACCTTGTGCACTGCCTCCTTGATCTTCCCAGAGTGCAGTGCGAGTCTCCAACAGCCAATCACAGACCAGCAGTTGTGCCAACTGTCAAACATGGAAATACTGAATGGAAATTCAAAATGGATTAAAAAACTGTCAATGATTAAACATAAAAGAACTGAAGACATTTACAACAAAAACCAATTTTAAACCATTATAACAACATGGATTATTCAGAATTTTAAATATTTATAAACTAGTTTTTTTTATAAAAACAGAGTAAGCGTCACAATAAATAACAAATACATGATGATAAATAACAAAATTTTACTCAAACAGAATCAATACAAAACATTATTTCTAAACTGAAGGAGTACATTACATCATAGTGTAGAGAGGTCAAAACACTGTTGCTGCACTGAAAGAGTATTGCATCGTAGTGTAGAGAGGTCAAAACACTATTGCTACACTGAAAGAGTTTAGTGAGTCGGTGGCTCAGTCGGTAGCGTCGCGGACTTCGGGCCCAAGGCAGCGATGTCGTGGGTTCGGATCCTGGTCACTGCCGATAACATTTTATCAGTACAGTTCACCTTTGTACTGTACCGGCTCACTCCTTGCTTTGCTGTTAACGATCCACGCACGGGCGCTTAGTCTATGTGGACGGGCAAATGCAAGGTTAAAAGAGGCCGCCAACCTCTTAAAAAAAAAAAAAAAAAAAAAAAGTATTGTATCGTACTGTAGAGAGGTCAAAACACTGTTGCTGCACTGAAGGAGTATTGCATCGTAGTGTAGAGAGGTCAAAACACTGTTGCTGCACTGAAGGAGTATTGCATCGTAGTGTAGAGAGGTCAAAACACTGTTGCTGCACTGAAGGAGTATTGCATCGAACTGTTGAGAGGTCAAAACACTGTTGCTGCACTGAAGGAGTATTGTATCGTAGTGTAGAGAGGTTAAAACACTGTTGCTGCACTGAAGGAGTATTGCATCGTAGTGTAGAGAGGTCAAAACACTGTTGTTGCACTGAAGGAGTATTGCATCGTAGTGTAGAGAGGTCAAAACACTGTTGCTGCACTGAAGGAGTGTTGCATCGTAGTGTAGAGAGGTCAAAACACTGTTGCTGCACTGAAGGAGTATAGCAATGTAGTGTAGAGAGGTCAAAACACTGTTGCTGCACTGAAGGAGTATTGCATCATAGTGTAGAGAGGTCAAGACACTGTTGCTGCACTGAAGGAGTATTGCACCTCATTAAAGAGCTGGTGCAATGCAACTACAATGCAACACAGTAAATTGACTTACACCGCAGAATTATTTCTTCTGACGTCTTGGTTCTTCCTTTCTACTCTCCATTACAAATTTCTTAAATATGATATATATGTATTAATATTATATTAAATATCCTGTTTGTGATAGCAATAAAGTAGGCTAATCATGTCATGACAAACAGTCTACCACACCGACTTACTGCCTAGTTTACATAAATTTTGAATTTTAAAACTAAATATGGTCTACTTACAATAAACAATTTGGAATACATTGGTGTGGTATAAGTTGAACAATTTCTCAACAAAAGAACTACATTGTGTTTTTATAGGGAATTATATTTTACAATGTTCAATAAATTGGCTTAAATTTTGATTTAACCACAATACTTGAAACAGATATTACAATTTGTAGTTTTAGATCTAAATTAGCAATCAAACTGAAAAAAGTTATTAATTTCTTTATTCCACGTATAATATTGCTACATAATAGATACGTACAAAAACCTATTAAGGTATAATACACAATTTAATGTATGCCTGAGTAACGACAACTTCACAACAATTTACTTTGAAACTTTGCAAAAAATGCAAACAAAACTATCCCATTGTCAAATAAAACTAGAGATCTGTAAGTCCCTGATATTTTAGGTCAGGTCAAGTCAACAGTTTGCCAGAGGAGTTGGTTCGGGCTGAAAATAATTTACAGGCCAGAACTCAGGTTGGTGCGTGTAGAGCGGACATTATATTTTTGCAATCATAGAAAGCAATACTGTGAAAAAGTGTGATCGAAATTTGGCTATTTCGCGTTTGATTTTCAAGGTTTTTCCACAATTATGAGAGATAATGAATGATGATGTTGCCGTGACCACGGAACATGATCATGATTTCACAGTGATATAGGGGAGATTGTGTAAAAATATCATATTTAAACTGATTTTAGTACTATGATCAATATATTTTTTAAATTGGTACATTCCAAAGACCAAACCTGTGTTTTCCCCTCTTTTTTTAGAAAAAAAAAACCCTCTGTCAACTCACCAAAACCTTAGTGTCTGGTTTGTGACAAGCGTCTACTGTGAGGCTTTCTTGCAGCAGCAGACTGGCTTTGTGACACAGTTCCAGCAATGCGGAGGGTGACGTGGTAGTGGTAGCAGCTCGTCGTACACGGTAGGCGGCCAACACAGTACGAATTAACAGCTCAGGCTGTGGTGGCGACTCTATACGGGGGTGTAAGGTTTCTACAGCAGAGTCTTCGGACTGAAGCCATCCTGCGGCAGCCTGGAGTAGAGCCACCCACCATGACGACCTTTCACAACCTACAACAGACATTTTCAATATATTAGCGAATTTCCCTATAGGGAAGTAGCTATTACCGTAGGTGGCACGGTAAGACCTAGACCCCGGACCGATTTACTTTTTCATTTTGATGTCCCCAGAGGCCAAAAACACCATTCGTCCAAAATTTTATATATGTATATATATATATATATATATATATATAGACCTATATATATATATACGTCCGTGAACGCGATAACTTGAGTAATTTTTGTCCGATTTTCATGAAATTTGGTTTAAAGGTGTAAAGCGGGATAAATATGAATGAGTTCGCAAACCAGCACGATCGGACCATGGGAATGGGGTTTTACGGGGGTTTTATGGGGTAAAAATTGGTTTTTTTTCACTTTTGACCCTCAAAACACAAAATTTCCCGATTTCTCTTTAGACCTTTTTAAAGAGCTTAAAAAAACAAATAATTTAGTATATAAAAGTATTTTTGTTCGATTATTAGTAACGAAGAAAATTTAAAAAATTGTAAATTAAAAATTCCTATGTTATTCTTATGGAGAATATTGTCAAATGTTGTAGTTTGCTTGTTTATGGATATATTTTGATCAAACTTGGCAAAAAACACACTTTATTAGTTTCCTTGTACCAGCAAACCTAGGTACTCGTTAAACCTAATGTTATTAAAATATATTTAACTGAAAATTAATTCAGACAAATGGAAATTCGCTTAGTCCGCAGGTTTGCTGCAGTGGGGGTATTTTTCTTTTTTGAGGAGAGGAGTGTGGGATAGCAGATAGCGGAAGAAGATGAACTGCGAAGAGATTAAGGGATATGAAAATGGAGTTTATAGACCTAAAAAAGGTGGGGAAATGAGGTGAAGAAGAAAACAGAGAGAAGTGAGATGGCAGATGAGGGAAGAACGTCTTCTTCCATCATCAGCTCATCAGCTGTAAAGGGATATTGGACTGAGTAGTAGTAGAGCGTCTCAAGTATGAAAAATAGTATTTACATGCAAATAAATAGTTTTGTTTTTACATTTCAAGGTTTAGGGATTCAAATAGGTTTTCATTTGGGATTAAATTTAAGTTTAAATTTCAAAATCCATCATTTCTGGTTTTGACCACCACTATATAAAAATTAAAATCCCATTTGTTAATATTAGGACCTTTATTATCGATTGGAAGTAAGAAAGTTACTTACAATGACAATCCTGCAAGAGTTTGAGGTAACAGAGAACTTCAGGAGTCGGGGAACGTTTGAGGGAACTCTCCTCAACCGAGGTGGGACCTTCCGTCGAGGTACTGGGTGCCACCAGCGCCTTCAATGCTTTCTCTATCAGATGTTCACGATACATCTATAACATCCAGCCAAATTATTTATTATGGGATAGATATAACAACTTTGAATTCTAATTGATAGGATATTGCATTCATATTTTATTAGTAGATATGAATAGGATACATTTATGTTCATACACTTTCATATAAAAAATAATATGAAGTGATTAATTCAAAATCCTTTTTATTCTTTTAAATAAATATATATAGGATGGAGAGGACACAGCTAACTCACCTGATGAAAGGTTGCAGACAAGTCAAAGAACACATAAAATCACACACATAATATACTTAATATTTCGCCTCTTTCAGAGGCTTCTTCAGAAGTCCCTTTCATCAGGTGAGTTAGCTGTGTCCTCTCCATCCTATATTTATTTAATCCAAGCTAAATGCTTTTTCCTAAAAACATAATTTTATTCTTTTAAAAATTTCTTTGTTTTAAGTTTATTTTTAGTGACAGTAAGTGTAGTCCTATGTTGGAGATTATTGTACACAATTTCCGTCTCAATTTGTAAAAACAAATGTTTACTTGCGTGCTTGGGTGGGTTTTGGTTGGGCCACCATCTAATACAGACTTGTCTAATAAAGAAAGGGAGAGTATATTTCATACAACCGATGAACATTTTAAATGAAATTTCTATACTTACTCTAGCTACAAAAGACTGTGGGTCTGTAGGGTCGGTGACAGATGTAAAGAGAGTCGGCCTTGGCAGACCGTAGCTCCAATGATGACTCAAGAAGAACTTATATCCGTAGGGAGTCATCAGCCACTGAAGATGATTGCATGGTTGTTTCTGGTAGGAGGACCTTCCACTGCTCAAATAATACCTGTAAACCAAATTGAAATTACTTTTATGTGCATGTTTCTCAACATCAGCATTTTTTACATCAAGGAATCCCTTTTTTTCTCAAATTCACATCCTAGATTGACAGGCTCTAATCTAGAACTCTTTTACACATTACTTCAATCTAATACTAGAGGGTCGCAGCATTATCACATAGATGAAACCCATTGGTGATTGGTGGGATTTGAATTCGAGACCTTAGGTTCCGAACCCCGCGCTCTACCACTAGCTATCTTCCCCTTCTTACAACATTAAAACCCCAGTAAACACATTTAGAAGACGATCAAATACGTAGAAGAAGTTGGATAGGTGAGATGTGAGTACAGTGAAGTGAGATAGGAAGATGAACGGTAAAGGACAAGGAGAGGATGTGAATGGAGTTGACAAGGGAAGAATATCAAGAGGAAGATCTACAAGAAGGTAGAAAGATGACATGAAGGATGTTGTAGGATAGAAGTGAAATGTCAGATTATGGAGTTTAACAATAGAAGGAATAACCATAACGGAATAAGATCTATGCACACAAGAAAAGCGTTACTAACCTTGCCAGGAACTGCAGTGGCGCAGGAAGCGTCTGTTTGAGTTGCAGCGCGAGCATGACATAGCAGTGAGCCAGCTGACTGGTAGAGGTGGAACCTGCAGCCTCAGCCAGGTTGACAGCCATCACAGCCAACATCGTTCCGGCCCCCCACCCTCCCCCCTCCACCATATGTAGCTGGTGCAGACGATGGTACACCAGGGACAAGTGCTTACACGTAGCCACTGCCTCACCCCTCACATACCTGCACACAATGTTAAATGTTTTATTTGAAAGAAATTAAGGAAAAAGTTGTATAAACCATTCAAATACATTTTTACAGTAGGTGCAATCTATTAAATTCAGGAAACATCTAACTTTCAATCATTAGAAATGTATGACTTATCCATGGTGAATAGACAATAACGTTCAATTTAAAATTTGAGACAGTTGTATACTTGTTTCAACAGCTCAAGGTTGAAAAGCTTTTAAGGAGCACAAAGTCAGAAAATCAAGTCGAGCCGAACTTTTATCTTCTCAATATGATCACGATCACGGAAATCTTCTGCTAAGATTGCACGATCATTCCGGGGCCGTAGAGAAATTGAGAATATCATTTGTGATTTCTATCTATATATAAAATGATGTATCACGATGTACAGATAATTTTGTAGATTTAGTTTACTGGTTTGGTTTGTATATACTGTAGTTTGGTTTACTGATATTGTACAAATAGGCCTATCCAATCATGTAGGCCTAATTACTTATTTCAGATGGTTCGGGTTCAGACTAGTTAGTGAGAACAAGGGTCCGCTTGTGAGGGGTTTGCCCAAGAATGTCCACTGTACTGGGAAAGTTTTTGAGTTTTTTCAAAAGGATACCAGATTTCGAGGTTCACTCAATCTGGTAGATTTTAAGATATTATTTAAGTGCCATTGTGCTGTAGACAGTGTGGATAAAAGCCACTTACTACCATTTGCATTTAATTAACGTCATCGTCCACAAAATACTCACGGAGTCGCAAATATTCCACCAGTGTAAGAAGACAGCCAGCGTCCAATGTACAGTCTGTGCAGCAATTGTCGCAACAACTGCCAGAACAGAGCACTGCAGACCTCCACCCTGGTGACCGGCAGAGGGCACTGTACCACTTGTAGACAAGTCACTAACTCTCTGTACGCTCCGCTACTGTCACCCTGGTGGACAGAGAGAACAGGTGATGAAGAGGGCAAAAACATAAAGTCACATAGTGAGGGTGATGTGGAGCGAAAGAAATTAAGAAAAACTATGAAGGAATAGAAAATAAACGACTGAGAGTTAAGCCTGTCATTGCAAACACAAATCTTCTTCCTCGCTCTACCCAAGCCTTCATTTGAGAAAAATCTTTCTTTAACACGTCCACTGCACATGACGTGTAATCTTGTCACCGCTAGCACTTTCCAGTGGCGCGCGACGAGTATACTCATCAAAAGGCCGTTTACAAACAATTTACATTTTTTCGCTTGCCACTTATTGTGCCAGTCTTATCAGGTATAATTCGTTTTCAGGCCCGACTATTTTATCGGTGGTAAGGATTGTTACAATTTTTATTTTAGTGTGGGCTTGGATCTAACAAAATGTAATAGAATAACGATAATGAATGTACTGTAGCATTGTGGAAGAAACCTAACATGAAGGCTTTTTTTGGGTATTTTTTTATGGTGTACTTTTTATGGTGTAGTGGTGGAGGTACTTTAACCCTGCTTTTTCCCTCTATTTGGCAATACTGAAAGCCGGCTAGCAGTATTGCTTAGTACTGCTATCTGTTGGGTTCTTGTAAAACGATCTCCACAACGACTGGGACACAGTATATGCCTCTCATTTGAATGAAACTAAATTCAAACGTTTTCACACACTCATCCACGCAGCGCATTAGGTGTTAGCGCCACCCACAGAGGCCGGCCATCAAGCAACCGTATTGAACGTGTTAAGTATATAACATTAACAAGTCAGTTACCTTGGACAGGTCAAAGTCAGCCTGTTTGCGATGTCTCCAGAACAGAGTGGAGGCTTTGCTGTCAGAGTACAAGATGGGATCTCCGTAGACAAACACCTTGACCAGCCCAAACGCTAGGATGAGGAGGTTCAACAGCCAAAGAGCAACAGAAGATCCGGCCCAGCTCCACAAGCCTCCATCACTACCTGCAAATACAAATGTGTAAGTTTATCTTTCAAACTGGAAGGTTCAGAATTTGAAACTAAATTGTACAATCAATTATCAATTATCAATTATTTAAGATGGGGACGCCAATATGTGCGCATTTTAACCCAAATATGAGTGAAGGATGAGTGTAGGATGAGTGGCGCGATCTTGTAGTCTTGTTAGTGACTAAGGCCGACATGTTCCTTAGACACAGCTGTTAATTAATAGCCCATACACCTAATGGCAACTAAGGGACCTACAGTTTATTGTGGAATCCGAATCACATTTTATCCTCGTAATTAACGAATTGGTCTAATTATTATGATAGTACTGCGGATAGTCGTAGTACTCACTAGTGCGGACGTTAATCCACACCAGGTAGCATCGCATCCACAGTGCATGCCTATAATTATCCACAATTCGTGACCTCCTAGTAGCTGGATTACAGGACGACGCCACCCGTCCCAGACAGTAAAACCACTGTGTTTAACCGCACCCGTTGAACTTAAATCCGAGATATCCATAACCACAACTAAATTAATTGTAAAATTAAGGGTGTAGCATAGAGCACAAGGGCCTAGATTTTTTTTTTATTGCAAAATTAGCTAGGCAACGATAGTTGTTCATTGTGGCATGGGTTGTTGACCCAAACAGCCCAAGCAGAAAATCTTGAGCTTGAGATATCTGACCAAGATTTCATCAACATGATACAGGAAACAACGTAATGTGATGGAGTCATCGATGTATATATTCTAGTAATTGGAAACGGTCCACCGGGGTGAGGGTCAAGGGGGCGACCTAAAGCTTGTAACCATGAAGACTTTTAAGAGAGAAAATAGTCGCAACCATCTTTTATTTTCAAATAAAAAGCCCACCTGTGCCGGAAGAAGATTTTTACGGTTTCTTCCAAATCATTTAAAACCCATTGGCAACTCAATCAAATTTAAAAACAAATTAAAAAATTATCTCATAGAAATCGCTCCTTACTCCATTAAAGAGGTGTTTCCCCAATTAATCTGATTTTATTGGTAGTTTCTTAGTATTATATAAATTGTAATTTTAGCTTATAACTTTATTTACTAGGTTAGGAATCTGACACTATTCAATGTACAATGTACAATTATTGAATAAAGATATGGAAATGAAATGAAATGAAAAACTGGCCCTTTGTTGGCAAAACATTATAAATTATTTTATAATTTGTGTTTGAGCAACAGAATAGGCGGAGGAATAAGAGGCCAAAGTCTAACATCCAGCAATGACACGACGATGGTTGACATTACATGAACCGGATGTGCACTATTATCCTTTGTGTCAAAATGTTCCCATTGCCGACAAATCTAACGAGTATTTCAACCAAAAATAAAAATCTGAATTAAAACTACTTACTGTCAAAGTTGAGTATGCTTCGGCCAGGCACGCTGGCAGAGTGATGTTGGCTCGGGGCTGGGATGGTCTCCAGCAAACGACCGAACGGGTTGACTACGACGATGGAGATCATGAACATACAGAGGACCATCCTCGTGTGATCCAACATGCCTCGGAACACTCCTTCCGACTCCTTCAGATGCTGTGAAATAATCATCGGTAAACTGACAGATATTTATTTCCTTGATCAAGGTTGTTCATTCTGTAGTAGGCCTACACTCGATGATTCATTGACGCTACTAACATTTAAATTGTATTATATTACAGTAAAAAACTTTTAAAATCCGTCGTATGTTTCCAAGACACTGACTTACAAATTTAACAAGCGCTACTCACTTCTCTGAGAGGTTATTTTTTTGTTTATAACCACTTCTTGCATAAAACTACTAAATATTAAATTTATTTATGATTATTTATCTAAAGAATTAACTTGAGTGTACATTTTGTTGCATTAACTAACAAATGTATAATCAGCTGGTGTCCGAAGTACCCCATCTGATTATTCAACCAGCAAACAGCTGTTTATGGAACTAACTTCACTAAGGAAACTGGTAAGTCAATAAAAGCAAAGAAGCGGAGAAGTCGTGAAAAAACCACCACACTTACGTCAGTAACATAAACATGGTCCTGGGGAGACGGAGGATCCGAGCTTGGCGGAGACAAAGTGTCGTGGCGGGGGGGAGAGAAAGATTCAGAGTGGGGGGGAGAGAACGTATCCGAATGCGGAGGGGTGATTCCTCCCGGAACTTCTTCCTCTCCTCCAGGCATCAACAGGTCTCTCAGTGTTTGTTTCTGCGCGTTCATCTTCAAAGCCATATTCTCCTGTTTCAATTTCATGTTGGACGCTTGGAGAAATCTTATGTATTCTATGGCTTTGCGTAAGATAGCCGACTTGTTGAGCTGTAACAGTAAAATATCACTGAAGTGTATCCTAGTGATCAACCTGTCAAGTAACAAATTGATTGAAAATCATGAAATTGCTACAAAACATTTAAATATCCTATAATTTTTTATTAAAAAAAATACTCCATCTAAATTAAATTCAACATCCCACAAATCCACACACGGGTGCCTAATCAGAATTATATGTCTCACACTGCCTCTGTACAAGTACGTAAGAGCTTACTAAGTCAAAACTGTAAATATTACAAACAACAGGCGTTATGAAATTCATTAATTATTTAAATTGTTATCCACACAAATTAAATCAAATGGGTCCTTTAATCGACAAAAAAAATGTATCTAAGAACAGCTTCCTTACCTTTGAGTCGGCTCCACAAACCATATCCTTCAACTCAATGATCTTGTCATTGATACTGGTTCTGTAGCGTCGCTCTATCGCATTGTGAGCGCTGCGCTTCGGCTCACGTTTCGGTTGGCCGGGGACGGAACTCAAGCAGTTAAGGGGCAACTTATCTGGATCTAACACAACAGGAATACCTGAAAACGTAAAGTTTTGAAAAGCAAAGTCAAAGAGAGAGTTGTACAAAAGTTGGTGTTCATTATTATTCAAGTGTACATTTGGAAATCAAATCATAAGCCTAAAGTAAAAACACATTTCGTGCAAATAGGCCAAACACATTGAGTAATTGATCCAAGCAACATACTTATTCTGTGATACTCAAATAGGCCTATAACCCAATACCTAACACAATACAATTTAATGTAGGCCTACCTATTCAAGATTCAAGTGTGTTAAAATTCAAATTGTACCGTAATGGACTTACTCGTGGTGACAAAAGTTCCATTGACAGCATGAACTGGAGCACCAGCAATGCCTTCCGCGGGTTTGTTTGGAGCTATTGGAGTATACATCACAGTTGTCGGCAACTTGATCTGTTGTGCATTAACCAGCATCTAATAAACAAGGAAAGGCCCGTTAGATCCAAGTCTCAGGTCCAGAGGCGTCACGTGAACCATAGATTTGGGGGGGCACATTGATATGACACCATCCGGGGGGCCTGGGGGGTATGGAATACCCCCCAGTAAAAAGGGGGATCCGGGGGTGCTCCCCCGCAAAAATTTTGATTTTTCGTACTTAAAAGTGCTGCTGTAAGCCTTAAATCCTATGAAATACACATGGTAAACAGCTGAGTGTTTTTTACAACTTTCAATGTAAATTTGAAGGACCCATTAAATTTTACCATTAAATTTTATTTTTATTTTGGAGACGTGACTGTTAAAGAACGTTTTGTTATATTTACCTCAAAACTAATGCATTTAAAATAGCATTGGCCGTAGTCATAGAGAATAGAGAATATACAAAGCACACTCTTTTGCAGCTGTTATAATAGAAAATATCAACTTATGAATACAATTTAGTAACAAATAGTTCAGTTAAAGTTAATGTATGTAATACTGTATGAAAACATACAATGTATTATTTAAGTTATTACCGTAAAAATAAGTGTATTTAAATTTAACATGGTAATTTTTGTTTTCGTTTTTTTTGTATATAGGCCTAAGCCTATATTCTGAAAGTTAAAAACCAATAATATCTTTCAAGAAAATTAATACTCTACCAGTATTTTTTCTAAATGGTTGCAAAATAAAATAATATTTTATACTTTTAAAAATGTATATTTTCACAATAAACAGATTATATATATTAGCTTGTTTAATAACAAGAACAAGGGAGCATATTCAGTTAATGGAGCATAAGCCTTCTTTCAGTTACTTTAGAAAATCGTTCAACTAAGGCATTTAGTTTTTCTTCTTGCATGTACTTGGATGTCATTTCCTGTTCAATAGCCATCAGTGCAAGTCCACTTAATCGTTCTTCCCTCATTGTGCTTCTTAGGTATGTCTTGAGTCTTCGTAGCGTCGAGAATGACCTTTCGGCGCTTGCGGTTGTGATAGGCCACGAAAGTGATATTTCTAACAGTTGCATAACATCTGGTGCATTGTTTCCAAGGCAATTCTTGACAAAAAATTCTGCCAGTTCTTGAAAAGTTATGCCCACTGTTTTTTTGTCTGTTTTGACGAAATTATTCTTGGTGTAGCAGTGAAAAAACTTGAGCTGAGAAGTGAAGCTTGAGGATAAGTTATAAAACTTTTGGACTTGTAGAACAGTATTGCTGTTAATGGTGTTCCAATCGAATAGCAGTTCAGCAATACTGTTGATTTTGTCGTAATCATTCTTCGAGAAACGTGATTGTAGGTTTGTGATCACTGTGTCTAGCCCAGCAAAGTAAACTTCAGTTTTAAAGGATTGTTCGGGTGTTTGATGATGGAATGTAGACTGAGGCAAGTTACTATTTTCAAGCTTTTTGGGAATCTTACGTTTGCGAGGAAGTGAAGGTCTTTCAATGCACAGTCCTTTGGTGGCATATTCCTTGCATAGTTCTTCTGTTTCTTCCCATATCTGAGAAAATCCATCGTCATTCCTTACAAGTTTAAAACAGTCTATCACTGCTTCGACCTTTGCAAAAACCCTAGAGATGTCCAGTGTTTCACTCTGAAGCAGTTTTTTGGAGAGAACATCTGTCTGACTCAAAACAGTGTACAATAGTTTTAGACAGAACAAAAACTCAAAGGTGCTTACTTGTTTTAGTAATCCGTCTGCATCAGCTGCTATTTTAGCATTAGAGGCGTCATTTGCAACAATCTCTAAAGTGTCACAAACTTGTGGGAGCTGATCTAGAATGGAGTTAATTGCTCTGTGACGAACAGTCCATCTAGTCCGTGACAAGCTCACCAGTCTTTTGATTTTTGTCTCTCCATTTTGCTTGCATATTGACTCAAAAATAGAAAACCTACTAGCTGATGCATTTATTACATTATACAAACTATTTACAGTATACAAACAATTCCGAAGCTGTTTTATTTCCTCGCAAAATCGCATCACAGCAAGATCAAGTAAATGGGCATGACAGTGTGTATACAATGCTCTAGGCTCTTCTTCTTGAAATCTTGCAGCTACGCCTTTTAATTTTCCACTCATGTTACTAGCACCATCATATGCCTGGCCTCGCATTTTATTGATGTTGATACCTAACTGCTGTAGATAGCCTCTGATTACATTATGCAAGTTTTCGCCTGTAGTGTCTACTACATCAACGAATCCCAAAAACCTCTCTTTGATTTGGATGCTGCCGTCTACCTTTGCGACATAACGAATGCAAATGCTTAGCTGTTCGCGTGATGAAACATCAGTTGTTTCATCGCAAATTATTGAATAGGCCAAGGCCTCACCCACTTCTTGCACGATGTCTTGAAGCATTTCATTTTTTATGCACTCAATAATCTCATTCTGAACCTTGGCACTTTTGTATGAGTGAACTGGTGATTTAATTAATGTTTTAATGTCTTCATCCATATCATGCGATCTTAGTTCAAGCAGTTCAAGGAAGTTACCCCTGTTAAATGACCTAATACTCTCATCATGTCCTCTTAAAGCGAGATTCTGTTTGCCAAGAAATAAAATGGTTTCAATAATAAATTTCAAATATTTCCGATTGGCCTGAACTTTTTGAGTGTGCACTGAGGACAACGCATCTGCAACACTTAGACCTGGTTTTCTGTATTCATTAAGAAATTGCACTGCCTTAAGATGCATTTCACTTTTTTCATGTTTTCTGAATTTTTCAAGTGCATTTTTCCAATTGTTCACACCAACTTTAGTAAATGATTCCTCTCCCCGCCCAGACTTATGGTGGCAAAACAATCGGCATGGATAACAAAATGCAGCATCCAAAATAGGGCTGTATTCAACCCAAGAAAATTCATTGTACCAAGTTTTTTTGAATTGCCTTGATTTAGAATTAACTTTGCTTACCTTGAAGCAATCAACAGGCTGAAATGGACCTTTTGTAATGTCTGCTGTTCGAACACCTAGTGAAGGGTCTCTACTCTCTCCTTGAAACTTGGCATCGCTGTGTTTATGCGGTAAAGATGGCGACTTACCGGCACAGTCATCAGCACTAACTACTTTGAGCTAAATGTTTATCTCCTTGCTCACTTGACTCAACAGTTACACTTGACTTAACACTTTTTTTAAAAAAAGACAGCACCGAAGATTGTTTAGACATGTCAACAGTAAAAGATAGATACGTCCAGTCACCATTCAAGTTAAACTGTGCAAAACAGGTGCAGTGACGAAACGCATAACCTATAAGTTGACGGTTGCTCTCTCTGCCTGTACTGTGTGGAGTGGTGGGGATGACAGATTAGATACACAGTGCACAGGTTGACCAACCTTCGCCCAGTCAAAGAATAAAAAGACGCCGCCTATTCAACGAATGTACAACTTCAATTTCAATATTTGAAGTTCGGATTAAGTGTTGAAGTAACTTCAATACTTAATCCAAACTTCAAATATTGAAATTAATGTAATAATGATTAAGTATAAAAACAGAAAGGAAAGGATTGTAACCAACTATTAATACGGTAAAAAACTTAACTCTTTCTTTATATGAATAACTTATTGTGAGTACCACTTTAGAAAAAAAATTTTATTTGGATTTTTATTGTTGGTTTTCTAAAAATAAAAAAAAGATAGCTATTTAAGTTGGGGGGGCACGGGCCCCCCCCGTGCCCCCCCGGCGTGACGCCTCTGCTCAGGTCTAATGTGTCACAGAGTAAAATTACTCTAATTTAGTTTTAAGTTTACAATAATTATTACAATGACATCAAAACCAAACCTAGGTACTTAATATTTCCTAATGTAAAAATTAATATTTCACAAAATTATTACGAACACAAGACAGAAGGTGTTTGAAACTTTTAACTTAGGCCTTGGTTAGTAATTGTCTTATCTAAACAGCTAAAAAAACAATGTATTTCTCTAAATTACTTTTTCAAACGTTGATAGGCCGTATAATTAGGCCTATTGACTATTGACAGAAATTACTGTAGATTTTTCAAAACCAAGGTCATTGTTGCTCTATACGTAAGCCTACCTGCTTCATTTGATCCGTCGGCACGTGGATTTGCCCCACACTCTGCACAGTGACAACGTTATTTCCGGTCTTTATCTTACGTTGAGATTGCTGCGAGGGTTTGACAGCATGGATCTGAGCAGCCGACGGTGGTACGGGGTTTGGCTGAATGGACCTATACTGCTGAGGTTGTTGCAAAACATAACCTGCAGGTTGCATAATCACTTTCTGCGCATTTCCACTGTTTTTCACATTCTTCGGAACAACTTGTGGAGGAGATGGATTTGAGGCCTCGACTCTCACAGCTTGGTTGACAATACTCGGAGAACTGTTTTCCAATCTGGTGAGTTGCGTTACTCTAGTTAGAGCGACTGGTACTGGTTCTTCTAAAGAAACAGAATTTTGTCGGACATGGGACGAATCACTTTTCGGTTCTACCAGATTGTTCGGCAAGTTCAAAAAGTCATATGAAACATCCTCCTCCATCGGCTGAAGTGGATCATTCTCCAACTGGGATAGAAGTCCATCGTCGGAAAAGAGATTGTCTGCTTTAGCAAATAGTTCTTGCTCACAGTTTGATATTATATCTGAAATAAATACATAAAGGTAAGTTTAATGCAGTGTTCTAAATATTAACTTAGGTCACACAACAGGAAGATTACTTAGTTAGGACCTAGGACTTAATTAGGATGAGTGTGCAAAGTAAAACTTAAAGGCAGTGTCAGCATCAGCTAGCCCAAAGTTAAGTTACCTCAGAGCCTGGTTATAGGTGACTAACTGGTAAGGCCCTAACTTACTACACATTTTTTTTATCACAAGCATTAGCGTACGCAGACATTTCTTTAATGTTTGCATAATTTTACTGGTGAAAAGACATTAACTGAAATTATAGTCAATATTGAAAGCTCAAGATAAGTTAGGAAAAATTCATTAACTAATAAAAATGATGGACACATCACAAAATTTAATTTAAAATACGGGTAGGCCTACCAGAGTGGAAAACATGGTAGGCCTACTTTAGTATTATCCGGAGGCCACCCTTATACCCGCGCTGCGGTGGTTATGTTAGGTTGGTTATCATAAATATGTTTATAGCCCTTTCCTCGTTTCGTTATGAATCGATCGATAACAGATGAGTCATACTTTCGCAGCCTGCCAAATCCCCTCCAAGTAGGCCAAGGTCAGGTCGTTGACCGGAGCGCGCGTATCACCTGTGAGTGACCACCTGTATCTCTGGTATACGGAACTCATCTGGTATTGTTCGATTCCTAATGAAACGAGGAAAGTCCTACAAACATATTTATGATATTTAACCCAACCTAACATAACTACCGCAGCGCGCTGTATACCTACTTGGCCGAGTACATGAGGCAGCTAGGGGTGTCAACGTATCAACTCAGTCCTCACAAACATCGCTGCCTTCTGGATGGCAGAACTCAAACGTCGCTGATCACAATCATGTCAAATTTGGACAGTAAGTCAATTAAAGTGTGTTCTTTCCAATTAAGTATGTAGTTATTTTTGGTCTCCGGTAAAAAAAAGTCCCTCTAAAATAAGTGGCCTTCGGATATTACCAAAGTAGGCCTACCGAAAATATTCTGTACAAACAGATCTTTGATATCACTTACTTAACTTAGGTAGCCTACATGAAATACTTCAGGTCTTCATCCTTGACCGACAATGTCGGATAGATTGCGTCAACTCATATGAGTTTGTCAATAAAAAACATATATTTACACTATTTACAATATATACAATATTTACATTTTACTGTGGCATGGCGGATATATTTTAGCTAGGATCTGAGAATAGGCTCCTCAATGAGTTCTCCCAATGAATATTTAATGGCCTATCCACTAGGGCTCCATGAACAACCTTTTTTAAATTTTGGTAGTTCCAATTTACGCACTTGAACTGGCAGGGTATTGAAAACCTTTATTGCAGAGCGGGGATAACATTTTAGGGTGCGACTCAAGCGACAGCGTGGCATATCCAGGTCTTGTGCTCTACTTGTGTTGTAGCTGTGCTGATATTCCCTTTTAGAATATTCTCCGTCACGTCCTTTTAGGAGGATGAGTAGGCTATGTCATAAACGTCTTGACTGTAGATGGTACTTAAGTATCTGCTGATCTTTGAAAATAGGCCGGCAATGCTCAGTGTATTCCGAGAATGTTATAATTCCAAGATCACAGTATCATTAGAGAGATTTTTGTTTGTTGTCAAAAGATCTTGTGACTTGGGGGGAACAGCAAAACTTGATCTCACTTTTAACAATTAACTTAACCTATTTGGTAATTTTTCCCTGTTTCATGGATTTCTGTACCGTCTTATAAATATTATATACTTCTTTTTATTATTTTTAATGTTTTGTATTGTCAGGCTAAGAACAGGTAAGTTAGGGCCAAAATAAAAGACTCATGAGTATCACAATGATAAGAATGATAGCAGGCCTAGTATAACCCTAGCATGACCAGATGACCAAATATCTAAGTTGTACATGGTTAAAAAAGGTATAATTACCGTCTATTCCAGAGAGCTCGTTTATGTTGAAGTCATAATCCCCCCCAAAACTGTCATCACCGTCAAAATCCTTGAAATCGGACATTTCTTGGTGTTGAATCGGCCACCCTCCGGACCCTGCCATGATGTATAAACAACTGGATATTATTATTATCACGGCAGACCAATGGGACGAGCGGATTCACATCGTATGATTTTACGTCACACGAGGCGTTGTTTTGGTCAAAGTTGTAAAGCGCCACGTGTTAAAGGATTGCCAACAATTCACAATTATAGCTAAATTTACCTAAAAAGTACAGCTGTTCAAGAATCTTTAACATACTTAAACGTTCATTATGCATAGATTAAATATTTACTTATTCAAAGTTAATATTATTTTACTATTGTAAAGATTTTCTTAATTCAACCTGTTGTTCCCATTATATAATGATAGTTCTTAATTTATTTAGATCCACCGTACATTTTAAAAATCAAATTCTAAATTTATACATTGTTGTCAACGTATTTATTGTTATTTTTAGGAGCCGACCACATATTTCGTAACGCGTAGTCGCGTAATTCGTCTTTTTTAACCCCTACCCCATGTGATGCTGCATAACTAAACCTCCCTCCCCCCGTAACGTAACGCTGTTAGATATTTTCATAACCAAGGTAGCCCCATCTTCAAACTCTCAAAGAGCCCTCCACTTCTTACTTGTTTTCCTTAGACACATGCTGCTGGCCCTTAACGTCACACAGATGGTTTTCACCCTTATCCAGTTCATCACTAAACTGTATGGTTTCTTCCATTTTTCTGTTAGGCGTTCTAGCTGCCATTGCTCTGAGCAAGGTCTGGAACTCTTTGCCAAGCATTCCGTCCACAGACGTGATGGAAAATATATTTATATTTATATATTTTATTTTAGTGAGCTACCGTAACGATGGAAACCCCGCCCTCCTCGTTGCGCTACCTCCCTCACCTTTGAGCAATCCGTTATATGTATACAGCCTCTTGTTACTTACTGTTACTGTATAAAATTATATTATATCTTTTTTTATTTGAATGATTAAATAATACTTGGCTAGGCTAATATATTTACATATACAAATAGTATTCTATAAAAGTAAATAAATAAATCACAAAGATGTTTATGTGCAAAAAGTCATTATACATGAACAAATGTATATACTATTATTTTATCGATCCAATTTGTTTGTGGGGAAATTTGGCGTAGCATCAACAGAGAAGTAAACATTGGAAGCACTGGATAACCTATTTTACATTTTGTGGACTGTGGACTTGGACTACCATCTGAAAAATACTGATGTAAATTGTATGGAAAATATCATCGACTCTACGGGATTTTTCGAAATATAATGAGTAACTTTCTGGAAATAATCGTAATTCATAAGCACCGATGAGCAATAGCATTTTTATCTTAAACATCTATTTCTTTCAGTCGAATCTTAGTAGTTTTTACAGTTAACAAAATTCCGGTTAGACCTAATTGTTGTGCGTTTGAAAGAAGAAAATGCTCAGACAATTTACCAAGTATTTAAAACCAACTTTGAACCAAATTTCGCTCAAAAATGGGTTGGTTAAGACAGGTAAGTAAATTTGGTGTAATATTAAATAAATACACTGCAAAAATATCCAGGGTATATTAGAGGTTACTCCCTCCCTAGCCTAAATTGATTTTGGTAATGCCTTGAACCCACTTGCTAAAGCTAAGATAAATAACTTACCTACTATAGAAGAAAGTTAGATAACCTTATTTAGGCTATCTTATGGATATGATTTAGCCTAAGTTACTTTAAAAAAATAAGAAAATATCCTAGCCTATATATGTTTTTGAAATCTTAAATACCTAGGGCCTATCACCACTGGACCGATAAGTCAAATTGTTTAACATATTGTGGTACTAGAACAGCATGCAAATAACTTACCACTTAGGAAAATGTGTGAAATTGAACTGATGTTAAACACATCAAAACAGAGATCATAGGCTTATTTGAAGCTAGTGTCAAATTATAATGTACCTATTGATTAAATTGGCAACACCCTAAGCATTAACTTAAATCAAGTATTTTTCTAAAGATTCTGTGCGTATTTACAAATCTTTGGTAGTATAGGTAGGCCTACTTACTATAGGCCAAAAATAGGTACTCTTTCAGTTAATAAAATTAGGCCTATAGTTTGTAGGATTAAGCTTAGACTATGTTTAATTGTTTCATACTGGAACTATGGGAGTGGCTCCGTGTAGCCTACGGTATTCATTATGGATTTTGAAAGGAAGTTGTTAGTAATCAAAACTTTTAACTTAATGATACTGTACTTTATTTAGAAAATTAGGGTCCCTACTATTCTGAGGCCTATATCTTAACCCTCCAGCGGGCGCTTGCGGAGATTTCCTCCCCACTTGTAGTTTTAGTACAGTAGACTCCCTCTTATCCGGACTCCTCGGGACCGCGGCCAGTCCGGATGACGGTTTTTCCGGTTAAGCCGACGTCCCCAAAAACTCATTAAAATGGACCATTTACGGTGATATTCGACTTAAATTTAGGAGAGCATTGTATTTAGACATGTGATCATTGGTCTCAAATCTTTCCCACGAGAACAGTCTTAACAGTACCGCCCACTTCCTGCTGATCTAGTCCGGTTAAACCAATGTGCTGATAAAAATTGTCCCACGGTTAACGAGATGTCATTCTCGTCGAGTGTAGTCCGGTTAAACCAATGTCCGGTTAAAAGGTGTCCGGATAAGAGGGAGTCTACTGTATGCATAATGGGTGTCGGCAGTCGTGTCCGGCTCTACACTTCACGCACCTCATCCTGGGAATTCCCCTAAGCTATTTTTACCCCCAAATTCCTCCTCATTTTGTTGTCAGTTGCAATTCAGTGACGCGGTGTCAGTTTGCGGAGGTTTACTCCGCATGCGCCCTATCGCGTAAGTCCTTAGTGCAGAGTTTATTTCCTCATGCGCTGTCAAACTGCGTGTATATTTTATACATTCAAAATTATAAACACGTTTAAATGTATTATTTCATTTATAATTATTATCAAATATATTTTTTTGCATGTATCTGTAAAATTGCATTATTGCGGAACAAAACTCTGCACACGCCCTCTCTTGTAGCATACCTTTATATATTAGAAAATTTATCAATATTATTATTTGAAATATTAGCCTACTCATATAAAGTTATACAAATACTGTTATTAACAAAGAAATTAGGTTTCTGATTAGGTTATTCAACATTTACATATAATATTTCGTAAAATGGGTAAAATTTATGCTATTTAGTGTTGGGGAATAAAACTCCGCATGCGCCCTCTCCTGTTTTACTGGTGAAGCGCCTCCTCGAGGTTTAATGATGTAAAGTAGGCCTAGTGAATGTCTACCAAGCTTTCACTAATTTTGTTTTTATTTATTTTGTGATTTCAGACTCCAGCCATATGTGTCTGCGGTTGTACGCAGCAGGTAGTAAAAGAAATGTTGATACTATCAGTGCAAGTAAACGGCCTTTGTCAAATTTGATGAAAAATTCTTCGCCCGAGACAGGCAAAGCTGGAGCCAATGTTGAAAAGCCTGAAATTTTGGACAGTGGAAACGATAACCCTGGTGGAGGCGACAAGAAAAAGCCAAACATTGTTTTGTATCTCAGTCCAATTATTGCAGCAGCAGTGATATATCAGGTACTGGTCTTTGATAGTCTAATTTTTTGGTATATTGAAACATAATTAACAAAACCAAATTTATTGAACTCACTAATCAGACTAAACTAAAAAGTAAACATAAACATAATAATATAAACAGTCATCTGACAGATGTTATAAATAAAACATATGGACTTATTTCTTGATACATAACACTCCTCCCCCCGTTAGGTAGTCCTTCAGATATGCCGGTGGTCGACGGATCCGAACAGGTCGAGGACTCATGCTCATTGAAGTGTTTTGGGAGTTTGATCCAGAGACACGTGACCGAACAGGTTGTAAACTCGTGCTCATGCTAGTGGAGTCTTGAATTAAATCAGAAACGTTGGGACCAGCTAAACCAGAAACGTTGAAACCAGCATCTTCTTGATTAGGGTTAATTGATCCTTCTATAATACTTAAAGAATTACGAGATTGTTGCATCACTGATGGTCGCATTGGTTGTACGTCTGGTAATCTCATCATAATAGGATTGCGGACCATTGATGGTGGTTGAACTGGAGTGATATGATGTGTTTCTGGTGTTCTCATCTGAATAGGATTCTGGAATACTGGGTGGAATGGTGGGTTTACTGGAGATTCAGGATTATCCAAGTGTGAGTTAGGAGATGCTTTTGATATTTCTGAGTGAGGCCTCAATTGGTCGATATGACGTCGTATTTCAATGCCTTCTTTTGTTGTCAAATGGTAGCTCCGCGGCCCGGTTATTCTAGTGACTTTGGCAGGAATCCACTTTGGTCCTCGCTGATTGTAGCTTCTTGCAAATACGGAATCATTTTCTTTAAATTTCCTCTGAGGTGACTGTTGGTAATCGTGAAGCGCTTTATCCAATATTTTGTCTTCTTTGTCATTTGAAGAATAATCAGGGTGAACTCTGTCTAAGATGGTTCAAATACGCCTTCCAAACAGCAGTTCACTTGGTGACATATTAGTTGAACAATGTGGCGTTATATGAGATGATATTAGGAACTGAGCCAATATTTTTTGCCAATCTCAGACTAAACTAAAAAGTAAACAAAAACATAATAATATAAACAGTCATATGACAGATGTTATAAATAAAACATATGGACTTATTTCTTGAAACGTAACAAATTTTAACATAGGCAGGCCTTACTTACTGGTTTAGATTTACCATTAATTAAACATGAATATTTCTACTTTTTTTTTGTTTAAATAAGTAAATTAGTTATTTTGAGTATGCCTACATACACTAGATATGACATGATGGTTATTTATTAAGACTAACAAGTGTAGACTTTCACAAGTAGGACTCCAAAAAAACCAAATGAAATAATCGATATATCAAATAATATCGATATAGGCCTATCAAAAATTCAGTTTGATTCCTAATTCTGTTAAAGGTAGGTTTGGTGAACCTAACCAACCAAACTTGATGTATGGAATGAAATAATCGATATGAAGAAAATTTGATATTTTCATTCGGTATTTTGGAGTCCTTTAAGTCTACAGTTTTAAAGTACCTAGACCAGTATACAATAAGTGCTTGACAATTTCTGCTAACAACCCTGAAACGTTTCTCTATCTCGTATATAATACAAGCCTCTTTGCCAGTCGAACTGGAACTCTTTTAATTGGTTAATGCTTTCCTGCTGCTGCGGTAGGCCTATTTAAACAAATGTTTAATGCATTGGCCTGTTTTGAATTTTTTCAGCTATGGAGTATGTTTTTAAAGGAGGAGAAGAAGGAACCCGTGTCTCAGTTGGAAGTCAAAAGAAAAAGTAAGTTAATAATTTTAACGTACTTCAACTTTTATTTTGTGATCCAAATAGTCCTGTCAACATCAATCTTCGGTACTGTAAAATGAATTGACTTTACATCAGTATGCTTTAGGCCTTAAGTGCTACACAAAAACCAACAGGTTAAAGTAGCTGGGGATTTAGGTATACACCACAAACAAAAAATAAAAATAACTGCTACAGGAGACATTTGCTAATTCTGAACGTTCATGACTAACGGATATCACTGAAAATTATTGATAATCATACACTGTCGTAATATTACCAATCGGGGTATAAAATGAATGTTGATAGATCTTGATGATGGTCGCAATCTAGCATCTTTTTGTTGTTAACCGTTTTGTTGATTTTTCCAGTGTTAAAGTGTAATATGTTGAAGAGTGTTGGAAAACACATATGATTAGCCTATATTCATAATGAATTATTTATTTCCTCCAAATCAAAAACTTAACACTTTTACGATTGATTCCTTAACTTACAATGTTATACATGGTAAATACTGTTGAAAAAATGAGTCATATCATAGGTATTACTTGCAAACGTCCTCAAACCCTGCTGAATTTACGAGTCGAAGGTTAGGCCTACTCAGTTTGAAAATAACCTGTACAATCAATGCAGTATAAATGGATGTCCGATTAGCAGTACAGTATTTTGCTATACTAAATAACCTTAAAACTTTAAACTACTTTGCTAATTTTTTTCAGAGAGGCAAGCTTCAATGGTCCAAAAAACTCCAGCCTCCTCAGCCGACATTCCCAGCCAGGTGCCTTATCTACTCATCGGAGGAGGCACTGCTTCATTTGCTGCTTTCCGAGCTATCAAGTCTAATGATCCGACCGCTCAGGTTAGTTTCTGAATTATTGGACAACACTGTCACATAGGCCTACAGTATTTAACGCAAAGATGTGTGAGGGATGAGTATTGAAACGAGATGACAGATTTTTTACCGACTAAAATCAGCTGGTTCCTAAGCCAAGACTATTTATTATACGCTTAGTGATCATGGGCAGCTAGGATTTTACTTTTCTCGGAATCGTACCGGTTACCTTGTGATTACCTGGCGAGTACTTTATCCATTTCACTCACACACACTCACTCTCATGGCCATTTATGCCCATCGCGGGATTTGGCCACACCAACAACTGCTCTACATCTCCCTCTATCTTCTGCCTCTTCCACTGCTGCCCCCACTTCTCTGACGTCCTTGGAGACACTATCTATTTTATTTCCTAGATTTGTAAAACCATGTTAAAAATGTTGTCAGTGACTGTAAAATATTTGTAAAGATTTCTGTTGCAAGCATCGAAATTCAGTTAAATAATACTTTTTCAGATTCTTGTGATCTCAAATGAACCGTATTACCCGTACATGCGGCCTCCGTTGTCCAAGGAGATGTTCTATGATGAGGACCGTGTGTCCGTACGCAACCTAAAGTTCCGGCAGTGGAATGGTAAACAGCGGAGGTGAGTTGGTTAAATACCGTATATACTGTATAATTTGTAAATAAACTCTTGTTAGCAGGGTTGCCACCTTAGGTTAGGGAAAAATCGAGACATGGCCCCCCTCTTCCCGGATTTACATAGGCTTAAATCAGACATAGACAGAATCCGGACGAGTGGCAACCCTACTTGATAGTATCTCTTGATACTTGAGCAAATTCTACAGTACTGGTAATGTAGAATAACCTTGTGGTTGTTGTGGTTAGTCGGTTACAGGGCTTGTAACAGGCTATTTTTTTTTATTTTTTTGTAATTTTTTTGCTCTTGGTTATTTTTTTTTTTTATGAATTTGTTTTTTTTGGGGGGGTTTTGGTTATTTTTTTATTTTTTTTTTTGGACAATTGGGTTTATGTTGATCGATTTTGATAAAGCTTGTAGAACTTTTAAAACTCATAAAATGCCCTCAATGAAGCCTAGGATTAGTAACATAAAACAACATTTTTAATCATTATTGCCTTAGTAGATGATTACTTACCTTGTTCAAAACCATCCTGCGTGATTTTTATTGCGTACATATTTTAAATATCCCAATAAAACACCGGTTTTTGGCATTTTTAGCGACATTTTGGGTTTATTCAAAGGTTTTTTTTTTAACCTCAAATACTGTTACAAGCCCTGTGGTTATTCTAATCAGGTCCTATAAAGTATCCTGCTTTTATTAAAATAAAATAAAAAATAATCTTTAGAATTGTGTTTACTATCTGTGGATTTCATCTAGGAATATTAGCCAGAGTTGCAGCTTAAGTTAATCATTTTAGCTTTGCATTAATTTATGTTTTACTAAAGTAAATGCATGTAATGTTGCGTGCGGCAATGAAAAGTGCTTGGTAGAATTTTAATAGTTAGGCCTATTTTTTACGGTTACCAAACGGTTGAAGATGTTGAAGACCAACAAAAATGTTATATGGCTGAAATTTACCAACCTCTAATTAATTTTTTATGGAAATTAACGTTGTTTATTTTTACTAATATGATTTCTTTCTCTTTAAATCACAGGATAAATTAAAGAGGCTCTCATGGATCGGGATCACAAACATCAAAACTCCGAATAAATCAAAACAAGTTGATAAAAAAATATTACCTTTGGTTAAATTATTAAAAAACATTATCTACTTTTGTGCCTTCAATTGTAAATTTGTTTCACATATATTTCTGTTTTTGCCTTTTTAGATATCAACACCCGAAGAGTTGTGAAAATTCACACTAGAGCGAAACTAAAGAGGTTTTTGGTACTTAATAATTTGTATTAGAGAATTAACGAATAATAGGCTACTGTTTCATTGGTTAGTTTCACAAGTTTTTTTAATACTTCACTTTTAAAAATAGGCTACTTTTCTATCCTGAACGCATTGTCGGTTTCAGCTTGTTCTACGAACATGACGACTTCTACGCAGACGTAGACACTCTGATGTCTGCCAAGAACGGAGGAATTTCGGTGGCGCGCGGATGGAACGTTACTCGGATAGACCCATCTGCTCGTAAGGCTTATCTGGAGGATGGGAAGGAAATAACCTATAGGAAATGTCTTATTGCTACCGGAGCCAAGCCCAAGACACTCCCAGTGTTTGAAAATGCCAGCGAAGAAATCAAGGAGAAGGTTAGTGTGGTATTGCTAACGTTTTTATAGGGTTTTATAAACTTAATTTTTGAACATTATTAGCCTAATAGAACTAGTCATTCCATCCCAAAAATGTTTTTGAATCAAAATGGACCTAAATAAGTTAAGCTATGGACAGTTTGTCTACTATGAATTGCTGATTTCTATTGAATAATCACTGCCGTAAAAATTACGGTTTAAAAGTTGGGCTATTACAATTTTTGTGATTGAATATCATAGTTATTCCCACCGCTTACCCATTATAAGGGTTTTTGAGCATCGAATGGGAGAAAGTATGTGTCAGTTTGCTGATATCTTAGTTCTGTTTTGTGTCAATAAGCAGGCTTCAATTAAATTTCATTTGGTTTTCTCTCTTTTGTGTGCAAAGTAATTTATCCTTTGTTGTTGTTCCTTTTTTGCAATCTACCAAAGACATTTTTGGCAAAAGAATTTGCATAAGCTATTTTGCGACGATTTTTACCCGCTAACTCAGTGATGGGAGTGGTCCTGCAATTTTTAATAGTCAATCTAGGCCTACTATTCCTCTTGGTCAAAGTTTGAGGGCGCCACCTCGCTAAAGGAGAAGTCCTGGAGTCGAAGCGAGGGTCAAACTCCACTCTTGAGTTGTTGAACCCGTAGCTGATATTCAGGGAATATTTGATAATTTAAATTGAACCTCGACCATTCAAAATAGAAGACAAAAATTTGCATACATCTAACACCAACTAATAACTATTGCAGTATAGTCAAATTTCTAATCTTAATAAACTCTGTATTGATTTGTGAAAATTGATAAAAAGTTGAATTATACTTTCTAAGAATGTAAATGAACCAACTGTCTAGATCATAGGTAACTAAATAAATAACACTGAATGAATAAGCAAGGAATGTATTATCAGAGATAAGTATTTCAGTTGATATAGCAAGATAACAAAGGGACTGTCCAACAACAGTAGTTATTCCACAAGACAATATTTTTTTATCTGACCCAAGAATTATTTAAGTTTAAGGATTGATTCAGTTTCAGATCTAAATGTAAAAATGATTAACCCAAACTAACGATTAATTATTTTTGGAATAATCAACTGATAAATCAAGAACAAGTATAAATATATATATATATATCAATAAATTCGGTGGCCACCAGCTAAGAATCAAAATCACATAAGAACATTTACATACACTATGACATATAAAACAATATAATACCCAACAAATATAACAATACTTAAGCTAAACAAAATTACAGCTAGATATTCTGGCAAAATCAGTTGGAGTCCTGTCCAGGTGTAGGTAGATCTCACACTCACTGTCTGTGTTATTGATGCTATCAAAATTCACTAGTACTAGTGCAAATTCACTGCAAAATTAAGCATTCAACCAAGAACTAAGTGTCCGAGATCCTCAATGATGTAGGTTTGCAGCAGTTATGTTGGTCTCAGAGTAAGATAAATATCGTACAAATTGGAAAATTCTTACTTTTGGTACGAATGTGTCGACCCACGATAGTCCATAGGCTAAGGCACACACGAGGTCCTTCAACAATGTAGATCCTCGGTAGGTTGAGACGATAGTCGATACAGCGATAGTAGGCTAGGTAGGACGAGACACCAGGAAGTCCAGGTCCAGGTCCAGAATCCAGCGATAGCGGTAGCGGTAAAACCCTAGGATATTCCAAAAGAATGTAACATATTCTTAAACTTATGTTAACACAAATATATTTATTTAACAATCTTTGATTCAGAATTTTATACTTTAAATATTTGTTTCAAGTTAAAATATGTTTTCAGATATGCAATCACTAAATACAAAAAGGACAAACCTAATTTTTGAACATTAATTACAGAGAAAAAAAATATTTGTTTTAGTTACAGCAATAATAATGAACAATTAAAACAACACAGTGAACATTAAGACAATAAAGGCAACAGAAAATATTTTGAGTTAGTAGACAATAATTAAAATAGTAATTCTTAGCAATAAACAATTAATAGTCTACTTTAAATTGGAGTATTTTAATTAAGGACAAATTTTAACATTTGGCTGTCTTTACAAATTTGAGAAATACTACTTTACCAGACATTAATTTACTCTGAACAGCTTGACACTATAGAACACAAAATATTTAATAATTACAAACACATGGGAATCTACATTTTCCTAAATCTAGTTATCCTGAAATTTCCTGAACTTTTGCAGGTTAAAACAACTTTTAGCACTTGCTTTGCAATCATCAAAAGTAATATTGCCACACAAATATTTACCATGATTATTTTGATGAAATTAGTACACTTGAATTACAACAAACAAATTATTTTATATATACAGCAACTTTAAAATGTACAATGATAAATAAATAAAATTTAGTTAAGCTCTGAAAACATGTGACTACTAGGCTTGAAAACTTCTATTTCCTTTAATTTAACTAAATGAACAAGAAAATATTAATCTAACAACTTATTACACATTTTTAGCAATAATCTGTTTTGATTGGTTGGGGTTTTTAATATTTCAATATTTAAATTTGTTTGCAATGAAAATGATTTAAACTCTTACCTTAATTAATCCAGAAACCTGAAGGGTGAATAAATTGCTTAAGCTTCCAAGACTGCCAGAACAAGACAAACCTAAACCCCAGTCCACCTGATATCAGCTAACAGGATAATGCAGGCACTGATGAGTCATCCAAACAGCTGATGGTAGATTTCACTTGAACTTGCTAAGCTGGGCTGGTATTGGGATTTTGTAGTTCCTTCAATTTCAGTAGGCAAAAGGTGAACACTACTGCACTGTATTGGGTTTCAAGCAGACTGTAGGCTAGCACTACAGCTGAATAAATTCTTGGGTTACATGAGGGGGCCAACCTCTGTATTATTTGAAAGTAGCAATAAAATGCGAATGTTACACCACCCCCCTTCGTTGAAGGAAATTTCCCAAATTTTCAAAGAAGTTCATTGGATGTAGGGTTTCAGGTCTTGAACGTGCCAGGTACCGATGTCTTTGCCCTCCAGATTCTGAAGTTGGTAAGTGACGGTAGAAGTCTTCTTGGCAATGCGGTATGGTCCGACAAACCGTGGAGCCAACTTTGAAGTAAAGTGAGCAGCAGCGTTGGATTGCACAAAATTTTTCTTCAATACCAAATCATCTTCTTGAAAAGAAACGTTTCGTCTTCGTAGGTTGTACCTTTCGGTGCTCTTGTTGTGGGCTTTTTCAAGCCTAGACTTCACTACAGGAATCAACTGTTTAAGTTTTGAGAGTTTGGTTGCATGGTTGGCACAACTTTCTTCCACAACCGGCAATTGATCTTGTTCATTCAGCAGAGCATATCCCTCAGAGGTAGCACTAAGCTCTCTACCAAATGTCAAGTAAGCAGGAGAAAATCCAGTAGTCTCGTGGACAGCCGATCTCAGAGCAAATCCAATTTGTGGGAGATCCTTGTCCCAATGACGATGGTTGTCCTTGATATAAGCACGAATCATAGAGATGATAGTTTTGTTGGTCCTCTCTACCGGATTCGCTTGAGGGTGGCGACTAGCATTCAAATACAGTTTCACCTTGTATTCCTGCATCAATTTCTTCAGGGCATTGCCTACAAATTCTGATCCATTATCACACAAGACATACTTTGGGACCCCAAAGATCATGAAAACATCGTCCTCAAGATGTCTTGCAACACTCAATGCTGTAGCTGCTCTGAGGGGGAACATCAAGGTAAATTTGGTGAATGTGTCAATAACAACAAGCAAATACTTAAATCCTTTAGTAGAGCGGGGAAATGGTCCTATCAGATCAGTGCTCAACATCTCCCATGGTCGATCTATGCTTCTTCTCTGCCCCAGAAATCCTGCTGGCTTGTTCTGATCATACTTTGTGGTTTGGCATATTTCACATCTTTTGATGTATTTAGCTATGTCTTGGCGCATTTTTGGCCAATAGTGATTTTCCTTGATCCGATGGTAGGTTTTGAAAACTCCCAGGTGTCCAGCTGTGGTTTTATTATGCATTTCTTCTAATAATTTTGTTCTTTTATCCTTGGCAACAACTATCTTCCATCCATTGGTGTCATCCTCTGGTTTATTATTCTCAATAACCAACTTGAATAATCTTCCATCTTCTACTCGCCATGTAGGATAATCTTCACCATTCTCAGTAACGAGGCGTTTCATCTTGCAGTACCATTTGTCCGTAGAGTCTTCTTGATGATCTTCAATTTCATGTACCATATCAACCTTGTCTATGATGGGTGCTCGAGAAAGCAGGTCTGGCACTACATGATCTTTGCCTTTCCGATGTATCAAAGTGTAGTCATAGGGTTGTAGTCGAAGTGCCCCCCAAAGCAGAATGGTTCCTACGTGTCTGCAACGGCCTGTGAAAACCTCAAAATGTGTCCGCAAGCGCTAAAACTAAAAAGCTAAATAATGACTTATATACCGGTATATATATATATATATATATATATATTCAATCTTTAGGGCTACTAGTAATATAGTTAAATAAAATAAGTAAATTTCAATAACTTGTATAGCCTACTTTTAAAACAAAAAACTAAAAAACTATTAAGGGGTAGGAATAATCAGGTTATTTAAATTTACTTTTTTTTAAATACGTATATATATACACATACCTTAACAAGTGTTAACAAGGTCTTCAGAAGTAAAACTTTATATGTACTATAGTTTCTTTATATAAACACACTAGGGATGGACGGGATTGAAATTTTAGTTCGGGACGGGACGGGACGGGATTTTTATTTCATTCCCGATATTCGGGACGGGATGGGACAGGATTTTTTTCTGTGCATAAAAAAGTACTGTATTGCAGTTACCAAAAAAGACATACGAAATCAATTTTTACCATTTGTGGCACTGATCTATACAAACCAAAAAATGGGTAACAATTTACAGGTACCTATAGAAACTTGTGACTCGCGGGTCACGGGCTGATCGTCTGTAGAACTCACGGTCACGGCGCGATCGTCGTCATGACTCGCGGTCACGGCG